TAATGTTATGTTGTTTCTAAATACAAGAATATGTCTGTTCCTAATAGTTAAGGGGAAGGGATGTCTGTGTCTTATTTCCACAGAAGAGAAATAGCTAGGGTTTTTATATCTTTTTCTCTAAAACTTCTAGCAAATAGAAATACATGTAAGAAAGGTAAAAAAGGTAAAAAAAGGTAAGAAAGATAAGAAAGGTAAGAAAGGTAACCTTTTCTTTTTAACCAATAAAATACATCCAAGAACTCTATATACAAATTTAAACTAATAAAATATAATAAAATATAATAATAAAATATAATAACAAAATATACTAATAATAATATAATAATGAAACTCATTCTATAACATTTCCGTCGCCTTTTAAAAATAAGCTCTGCGAATCCTAACTTGATGCAGCAGCGTCATAAAGTCTTCTTCGCTTATTTCTTCTAAATTTAAGAGAGTAATAGCAGTTGTGGAGTAGAGGGATAGCAGTCCACAGACTTGAAGAAGTTGGTAAATTCGGTCAGCACATTTTAGTACTTTTCTTGCACGTCGGGATCCTAAGGCATTCTTTAATGTTTCTTTCATTTTCTGAATCTTTGATTTATCATTATCAATATCCTTTCGAATCTGTTCCAAGTAATAAGAGGCTTCTAAGATTTGAATTGAGTGGTCTCGACATTTTCCTTGGCTTTCTTCTTTTAAGCGAGAAAGGATTTCTTTAAACTTTGCTTCATATATCAGTCCAGTTAATGGATTTCTTTGAGTGATAACTTTTTCTTTTTCTTCAGTTAAATCATCAAGAAGTTTTTCTAAGGTGGAGTTTTCTTTTGGCACGATATTTATATTTTCTGGTTCTGTAGTTCTTAACGAGGGTGCTGGTTCTTGTGGGACTGTTTCTTCTATATTTTGGGTTGCGAATAGAGGTTCTGTTTCTATAGGAAGTTATAACAAGAGAACAATATTGGTTCCATCATGTACTGAAACCAAATTTTCAGTAATAATCAAACTATGGTTTGATGCAAGTGGATCTTGTGTCCATAGGCTAATGAGGTTATTAAAGGCTTCTAAAATAGGGGTTGGTAGTGGTAACAAGTTTGGGGTTTCCATTTTTAACAAAAGTTACAAAATCTATTTCTAAACAAAGGGTTCTATTTATACTAATTTCTAATGGGTATCCGTAAGGTGTACTAAATTTAGTACAAAATACTAAATTTAGTACAACCTTTAAAAAATTATAGAACAAAAAAAATTACCAATAACTCTATAAAATTTATACAAAGTGTAGATACATATATATAGTTTATTGTAATAATAAATTCATAACTATGTGCATTTGCTAATTGTGTATAAACAAGTTTTTTTTAGGAAGTATTATTACATTTGATCATCTTCGCTAACAAAACTTCAATTATACTTTTTAAAAAATTCTGCTTATACTAAACTTAAAAAAATATTTTTTATTTTATAAAACTGTTTGTTCAATGTATCTACGAGATTCTTACCTTTGAAATTTGTAGTATTAGGTTGAGTCATAAGCCAAATAACATATTACGTGATCGTGATCACGATCACGATCATGGTCACAATCGTGATCATGATCATAATCGTGATCATGATCATATGATTTAAAATAATAATGACGTATAGATTAGTAATAATACATATAT